ACTGCATATTAGTAATATTTTGTTGGCAGACACATACTACCAACTAGCATACATTTGGCCAAAGGAGAGGATTCGCATGCAAGGGGAAGGGGAAGCTGGTGGAATTTCGAGTCTCACAATTTCGAATGTACGTTGCAGTCCAGAAATAAAATACCACCGTTTCCCCCCGTTGAGGGAATCTTCGTTCGGAAAACTAAGGTTGATTCAATTCACGGAAATGTGATAGTTTATATGCAAGACGGCGTACTGGCACTGATAAAGCAATTTTAAAATGTATAGAGACACCTACCAGCAGTCTGAGCGTTGACGGTGAAGGTGTTGTTACTGCCTACGTAGGCCTGAGTGAGACCGGGACCAGAGCAGGTAACGTTGTCTGGTCGTGAGTACCCCATGGAACGCTGCGGACCGGTCATGAGTCTTTCGTTTGCGGTAACAGTGACCTGAGCCGTGTCTGTCGAGTAGGAACCGTACACTGGATCGCCGGTAACGAAGGCCTGCAAAGGAAAGGGGCAATTGAGAGTGTAAAGGCATGCTGGAGAGCTAAAAAAGATTACCAATTTTGATGTGCGGGGGGAGATTGTTGCGGCTCGCAGTCTTTAGGGATCACCAATTGGGCGAACTCAGTGCTCGGAGGAGCCAAGCTTTTCTTTTATCCAAAATGACAGCTTAAGCTCGTCCGGTCGGGACAAGAGATTGGAACTTCCTTCTAGGTCTATGTCCTTCATAAGAACAGAATACTCAAGGTATGCTTAATCATCAGATAGCATGCCATATAGTGACAAGATATTGCTGCCATTTCTTGATGCCAGCTGTGAAACATGATTCATTTCCGTCGCCTTCGGATGTGCACTCTGTAAACAATAGTACATGCCGTGTCATAGATTTCCAATTGCACTGCAAATTCCAGTGCATTTTATACAGAACCCTATAATTACAGCCTCTAAAAAATGGGAGTTAAACTTGGTAGTGAATGTGGACCACGGAGTTTACCTAAGAAAAAAAATTAATCGATGCAAGCATAGATCGTTCGATTAGTAGAAATATGAAGGTCTTTAAGATCACCTTATCAGACGCTTTGTAATTATTGAAAGTAACGCCTTCTTCAAATATAAAGTAAGTAGATGTAGACCACTGCTAGCAAATGAACATATGAAAAAATCTTTTCGTGCATATTTTTTTACAAAATATATTTGAATTGATAAGGGAATTAAACATCAGATAGTAGTAAATTTGCAAGACGCGTTTTGTTGAGACGGCCGGAAAGAACCTTGCTCAACCGTCTAGACCGAAAATGTCATAAGATTATTCATTAGGATGATATAGAATGTAGAGCTGACATAGAGTCGACGAAGGTGTCTATTCGGGAACTACTGGACCATTTCAATTATCGCGCGCAAATATTCGATTACTTTCTTATTTAAATAATTCTTCCTATTATTTTATACTTTTATACTCTCTGCTTTGTTAATTATTTTTTCTTTTTGCTGATTTGTCCACCAATTTAACCTTTATTATCATTTGTCTCGTATTACAGAAGGGGGAACTTTCTGTGTGCTGTTTGGTGACCCAAATTGAACGGCTACCTCACAATCTGCCGACTTGCCTTTTTTTTTCTTAATTTTTGTTCACAGTTTCGATTCCAGCTTGAGCATTTTCTGTCTTGCTTATCTTTGTCCAAATTCGACTGAATTCCCCCATATTGCTAAATCGATACGTCAAATGATATCTTATAATAGACAGAACCGCGTGAAGATTGATCACTCGAATGATGCCAAAGGCTAGCCTGTTACTCTATTTTCTCGCAATATCAGTTTCCTGGCGGTTTTTCTATCGTTCAATGCCCTCCAACTGAGCGTGGTTTCCTCTCCTTACCCTAGTTTGCGATGCATGACAAGCACCGTCAGTTAACTTTACTGTATCAAAATGAAGTCCTGTTACATGTGTGTGTTTGGTCGCTAAGCGACGTCCCCAACAGACCCGTACGGCATTTTGGACTCACCGATACCACAACCGGCTCCATGGAAGCATTCTTACAAAGTAGCGACCACACATGGCTGCTCTGGTAAAGTTGCCCTTGATGTAGAAAAGACTCGTGACTTCTCCTAAGCATATGCAGACTTCGACGAGTCTGCTAGCATGTGGAAGGGTTCTCTTCATCCAAGCCATAGAACGGGAGATAAATGCGATGGTGAAGATACAATGGGTTGAACAGTTTTTTTTCGGTATGTGTTTCCTCAGACACAGCTAAAGGTATGCCAGAGGTCATGCTTATCCTAAATGTCGGGCGTATAAAAGTCCGGCTCCTATAGTGCAAACTGTTAAAAGTTATGCATAACTACATAACGCCTTACCAAGCTGACATCTCGGGTACTATCAAAAAACTAAAACATGTAGGTTTTTCTAATCTTGCACCATTGCGAGCCTCTTAATGAAATTGTCTCCCAATTCTTAACTCACTCTGAAAGGCGACTGAACAATGTGCTGATCCTCATATTTGATACTAATGGTGTAGTTTCCCGGTGCATAAGGAGTGTATGTGAATTCGTAGCCACCGGGACGCTCCGAGCAATTTAGCTGCACCTTGCTGGGTCCATCCACTGTCACGGAGAGGGCACCGCTTCCCGCTTGCGACGTGTTTACGAAGAAACGGTTCTTTTCACCTACAACAACAAAACAAAAAGGCATTCTAAGTGCGAATTTGCAGTTCTCACAAATGCAATTATTGCAGAACAATCTTGAGAAACATTACTAGCACAGATGACTGTGCACAGAAGACTCAACGTTTAAGCTATACGGACCAGGATGTTACAATACAGCAGTTACAATTATCTTTTGAGTATTTATCCGAGCTTCTTTAGTCAGTCTGATGTAACAGTAAGTAAGAAGCAAAGGTGATCGCTGGGACAAGAATTTTGATCACCTTTGAATACAGTCACTATGCTACTGCATAATTAACGTCCCTCCACTACTGAGGACACTTGTCCGCTTATGCGCTGATTGTTTGATGTACGGCCTATAGGTTGTGACCACCCAACTGTGCTGGACTTGGGCTTAATGAATCCTCAGCCATCTGGTTCTCAAGTGACGACGCATTGGCCTGTGCATTCGCCGAGTGGTAAAATGCTTTGGACAAAATGAATCTAAGGACCGAATATGCGTTGGGTAGATCGCTGCGCTTGTTTATGGACTGGGGGACCGTAAACCATGACTCAAGTAATTGGCGACACACATGAGTGTCACCCCTTGCGATAATTTCGGCCTCATCAAATTTGAATGTGTGGCCGGGTCTCGCGATTGAGCCGCAACTTCAGAATTGGCATCATTTCGCCGCACCGCTGCCGCGTTTTCGGCAGTTCGCGTCTTGAGAAGTTTGCCAGTTTTTCCGACATTGTTGCTTTGTCCGAAACTGCACCAGATACTGTAGAAAACGCCGTGGCAGTGGTTCTTTTGATTTCATAACCTGATACCTTATGGTTGCCCCCCGCCTGTGTACGTCTCTAACTCTAAGTGAAGTTGTTCCAGCGATCAAATATGCTCCTTCTCGACTACTC